ATCGAAATCCAGAAGGGACATCCGCAATCGAATCGATTTGGTCGTGACTCTAAAATCATAGAGAAATGAGCGTCGCACTGCTATAAAACAAGTTATTCACAAAGTTTTGTCGTATAAATTTTCGACTGAGTGGCTCTTGTTTGATGAAGTGGCAAATTTTACGCTTGCTGAAAATATTCTTGCTTGTATTTGTCCTCATTTTTGTTGCCGTTTACTGTAGACACAACAATATGGATGAATTCCAACAGTACAAGTCGTGATAATACAAACGAAAACAAGCAAAAAAGCATATCTAATTCAATTTCTTATTACTCGAGAAGTTCTTCCAACTCTTCAAGTGGAAGTTTGGTTTTTGTTGGTGTGCTCATCGCTGTGGGGGGTCAGTTCTTGATTGCCTCCGGTGCGGTTCTACAAAAGTATACGCATGAACAAATTAGAAAACGAATCCAACAAGAAAGAAGGATGTCTGATAACGGTGTAGAGACGGCGGTGCACAACTCCACAGGTTTGTCAGTACAGGTCGGCAACCAAAACATGGAGCTCAAAGAACCTTTGGATAAGAATAACTCGACTCTTGAGAAGACCACAGTTGAAGATATGCAAGAGAATATATACCATACAGCTCATTCGTCATTAGACCTTGATTCTTCACCCCCTTTAACAAATGTCAAACTAGTAAAAAATACGAGGAGTGACCATATAAAGGAGCAAACTTGCAGAGCACATTCATTCGATGATTGGGATAAAATGAAGAGGCGTGAACAATTGCTTGATACAGGTGATACAGCAGATTCCACAGAATACCAAGAACTGTCGTTAGATATAGCCGCGCTATCACGATTGAACGGTTTCACTGCTGACCGCTTATTTGATGGCTATGTGGATAGTAATGACTTGGAGGAAGGCAACCATGTTTCAGAATATAGACCAGAAGAAAAGCAAAATCAAAAGGAAGCTGTGGATATTATTTCGAGGTTTCGCAAGGTTCGAAAGAGGCTAATTGAGAAAAGTAGCAGTATAAATAGGCCTCGAAATATTTCTATAACTTCAGAACCTGTTCGTAAAAAGACTCTTTTCAATATTTCACCTCCACAGTCTCCACACGTGAATTGGGAAGATGTGGCAACACGTCATGGACTCCATATTCCCAATTCAGAAAGTTTCAGACAAGTAGAAAGAATTATAGAAGAACAACATCGACAAGACACAGGTGCTATTGAGAGAACACATTACTTGAAAATGAAAAAATGGTGGACGGGCTTATTGTTGATAGGTGGTGGTGAAGCATGCAACTTGATTGCTTTCGGATTTGCTCCTGGTTCAACTATAGCACCATTGGGAGTCTTAGTCGTTCCAATCAATGCATTGCTTGCTTGGAAAGTAAGTAGTAATATTTCCTTTTTGTATTTTCACTTGTTTACATATGTTCAAGTTTTTGAAAGAAAAAGTTACTTGGGTTACCATTTTTGGTATTTTGCTATCCATAGCAGGTGCAGCATTGGTTGGAGTATTCGGTCCAAGTGGCCCAGACTCGACGGGTGCATTGAATCAATCCCAAATACTTCATCTGTTGGATAATGTGGCATTTATTGTCTTTATTTCTATTACTGTTGGTGTGATATGTGCTATCTTTGTTATTAATATGATCACGGGGATTGGAGTTCGTTATCTTTTAGTGTATGCTCTGATGTCTGGAATGTCTGTAAGTATTCTGCAAAGGACTCATTGTAGAATACAAAACTCAGATATTTACTAGGCTGCTGTCAGTGTGACTAGTGCCAAAGGAGTCGTGCAGTTAATTCGTTATTCTGTCACTGGACATGGAGACCAGCTAGCAAAGCCTTTGATTTACGTGATGGCATTTGTATTGTTAGTCACAATTGTATTTGTAAGTTCTATTTTCTGTTGAGATATTCATCCTAAAGCTTTTCTAGATGGTGTACTATATGAACCGAGGAATGCAAACATTTCGAGTAACTCTATTTTTGGCTGTTTATTATGGATTTTTCATGACTTTTTCGGTTGTCAGCTCTATTCTGATGTATCAAGAATATCATTATATTACTGCATATAATACCCCTTTTTTTATAGGGATAGGACTTATCTTTATCGGTATTTCTGTAATTAGTTTTTCAAGTCGACCTCAAGAAGCGGAGGAGGAAGAGGCTGAATTTGTGGAAGCAGTAAGACGTTACTGGGCATCCCATAATTCCCGAAATAGTTTATCCTCCCGTAGACAAGAAAGTATGTGA